TAGCAGCAAACTGCCTAAACATTAGCAAATCAGTAGCCCAAACTGCCTTAATCAATAGCAAATCAGTACCTAAAAAACTATTTCAGTAGTTGCAAAACAGTAGCTTTTAGCCTTCAACCCTTCAGTTTTGTATGCAATCTACAAACATAAACAATTTATTAGTATCATAATCCAACATAACTAGAGTTGATAATCATATAAGGTTTAGCTTAATGTAATTACCTGCCTTTCCAATACTGCTTTCTTGAGATAATACAACCCCTCTCCCTCTTCCTCTAACACTTGCATCCCTCCCTCTTCCTCTAACACTTGCAACCCTCCCTCTTCCTCTAACACTTGCAGCCCTTCCTCTAACAGCACAGAAGTTCCACATTCTCCTTGTTGGCTTGGCAATGTAGGACAAAATCTTTTGTTGTGCCCCTTCCCCTTGCACAGTTGACAAATCATTATTCTTCCTTTCCTTGACAACTTTTTAACTTTTGAACTCAATTTGTTTTTGTCCTTGTTCTTTTCATCATCTTCAAGCTTTCTTTTTTTCTTGGGTCTGCCAATCATCTTCCTTGGAACTAGGGCATGTATCTCATCTCCTTCAGTTCTTGGCCAAAACATTTCTCCATTGACTGGCTCAATTACATGCTCATAAGTCTTCAAGTACATATCCTTACTATACCATTGATGAATGTATTGATCTGGCTGGTACCCCTTGTGAAATATATCACAAATTGAATGAGAACATGGTAAACCAGTCAACTGCCATAGTCTACAAGAACAGGTCCTCAACTGCAAATTGACCTTTAATTGGAATCTTCCTTTTTTCACCTCATATCCATCAGCTCCATTGTAGACAACCTCCCAATTAGCACTGCCAAGTATGTTCTCATTTAATTTCTTCAGCACACCTGACCCATAATTCCCAGTCCATCTTTCAGCAAATACTCTCTTCTTTGCAACCCTCTTCATCACAAAAACTCTTATATCTTCTAACATTGGAATAATGTTCTTGGACCTTGCATTCAACAATGTCTTGTTGAATGCCTCACTAAGATTGTTGTCCACCAAGTCACATTTAATTTCTTCTTTAAAGAATGCTTTGCACCAGAACTGCATATGATACTTGTTGAGATTATGAAGTGCTGTAGCATCTACCTTCTCCAAATCTTTCAACTTTTCTGGGAGTAGTGCTTGAGTAGGTGTCTTTGCAATCTGCCAGAAGTGAGCCTTGAATACCTTCTCTCTGTGATTCTTACTCCAATTGGCATGGACATGCCTAGCACAATTTTTGTGCTCAACTCCAGAAAATAGCTCTTTTATCACATTAGCTAACCCCTAGGGGTGTGCAAATTTCGGAGAAATTTCGGTTAACCGACCGAACCGACGAAATTCGGTTAACCGCTTTCGAACCGAAATATTTCGGTTCGGTTAATGGTTAAAGGTTTTCCCAAAATTCGGTTAACGGTTAATTCGGTTCGAAAGTGTTGGTTAACCGAATTAACCGAACGGTTAACTGAATTTTGGAATATATTTATAATATATAATATATTAAATATTAAATATATAATTACTAAAATTATAAATAGTCAAAATGTCAAATAGAATAAATAATAATCTGAATTTATTATGATATGTATGTTATTTTAATTGGAATTATTATTTTAGGAATTATTTTATGAATTTTAAATTTTAGGGTTAAAAATTTCAGTTAATCGGTTAACCGAAAAAAAATTCGGTTCGGTCAATTCGGTAGAGTAAATTTCGGTTCGGTTAACAGTTAAAGCAAAAAAAAAAAAAAAAATCGATTAATTTGGTTCGGTTAACCGAATGAACACCCCTACTAACCCCTGAAAGATCAAATCAAAGTTAATTACCTATTGATGTAAACTGTAAACTAAAAAATTGCATAAAGGAAATAATAGAATTGGATTTACCTTCTGCTTATCACTCATTAAGGTCCATTGAGAGTTGTCCACAATTCCCAAATCTCCCTTTAAAAGGTTTAGAAACCAACTCCATGATGAGCTATTCTCATTCTCTACTACAGCCCAAGCAATTGGGTACATTTGATTGTTCCCATCTCTACCCACAGCAGTCTGTATCTCACCCTTCAGTTTTCCTTTTAAAAAGCAGCCATCCAGTCCAATAAACGTCCTGCACCCCCCTAAAAAACCCTTCTTCATTGCATTAAAACACACATATATCCTCTCAAACACCAATGGTGAGTTTTCCACTGTGCTGGTTGTTTTTAACTTGACTGTAGAAACTGGATTTGAATTCAAGCACTCTTGAGCATTATCCCTAAGTCTTTTGAACCGACTCTCATATCCAATATCAAACTTCTTCAGTATCCCTGTTATTGCCCTTCGACACATACTAACAGTTACATTCAAGTTCATTTCAGATTTTATGTCTTTGCTCAACTCTGAATATCCAATAATTGGATTTTGCCTCACCTTCTCTTCAAATTTTCACTCCAATCATTTCTGACTAACTATCCCTAAGGTAAATTGGTTGTTGCATTGATGTTCCAACATAAGTGCCTTCACCTGAAAACACCTTGTTCTTTCTTCCCACCCTGCACTAACATGAAAACCACAACCCTTCTCTAAACACTCAACCCTAACATACTGTAATTGATTCTTTTTCCAAAACAGATCCCTTTTTGTGCTCACAACATAACTAATCATAGCAAGCTTGAATTGCACATTGTCATCAAAGTACATACCAATTTCAATAAATGGTGGATTTGATTTTGGGTTGAACTTAGGGTACTTATCGTTGTACTTTGATTGCACTTCATTCCCTTCATCATTTTCTAACTCTTCTTCAACTGTTGGGGGATCTTCTGAGTCATAATACACAGAATCTGCCTCATCTCCTAAGGGATTTTCATATGTTGGCACATAAGGTGGTATTCGTGCATCATCTACTCTGGTTTTCTTTTTTTTTTTTTTTCCTGTTAGTAATCTGCTCACAACCACTAGTAATCTGCTCACTACATCAGTCCCCTCCTCATTGTAGGAGTCACTCCCAATTCCTGAACCCCCAAATTCCTCACCTTCACTCGGATCTTCCTCACCCCCAAATTCTTCATCATCAACCCCAAATTCTGCCTCCTCACCCCCTAAATCTGCCTCCTCACCCCTTAAATATGCCTCCTCACCCCTTAAATTGGCCTCCTCACCCTCAGTTTGAACTGCACTCCCCCCTTCAGGCCCAGGTAAACATAAATCAACCACATCAGGTTCATCTACCCCATGTTCAACATAAATCTCACACCTTTTATTCTCCCTACCAATCTGAGCTAAGTGGAGAGTAGTAACATCATTATGAAGTAGCTTTAAAGCTGTAAAGGGTTCAGTGGTCAACTTATATGTCAGTGAGGCTATTTTTCCATATTTTTGGTCTGCTATATACTTCACTAGGTGGGGATACGAGATTAAGTCAGGGTCCAGACACTTGTCTCACCATTCACATATTTTAACCTAGGTTTTTTGATGAAATTACCACCATGATGGATAATTAATTCCCACCCTTTCATCCATCCTGACACAAAAAAATAAAAAAAAAAAATCAAGGCACATTTAAACACAAAACACAAAGCTACTGTCACACATTCAAGGCACAGTTTTACACAAACCAACTGTCAAAAAGAAGACTACAGAAATGCAGGACCACACTAAAATACAAGCATATTCAAACACCAGGACCCCACTACATCATAATAAAAGCAAAATCACAGTGTATGAGGACCACACCACATCATATTCAAAGCATATTCACACCATATTCGCATATTAAGAAATACCTACACCATATTCTACATATACATATATATTTAAATACCTTACTCGAAGTCCACTCTTCTTTCCTTTATCGCCCAGTATTCGTTGCCCAGTGTTCTCTTCCACCAACAGTCGTCGTCTTTAATTGGGTCGTCGTCCAGGGATGTTGTCTGGATTTAGGGATTTAGCGTTTGAGTCGTGGGGTGGAGCTATTTTTCGCGATTGAGGTTTCTGGGTAAGAGCAAAGTAAAATTAGGGCTTAAAATTAGGGATTAGTTTGTGTATTTGAACGAAGAGATAAAAGGGATGCCAACACAACATATTTTAACACGTCAGCGACTAATAACCTCCACATCAGCAACTTCTACCGTCTACCTGAGGGAAACCTGTAAAAAAGGCTAGGCGAAAAAAAAAATTAGTTTGTGTAGCGAATCGGCACATAAAAGGTCAGGGTGCGGCATGAAGAATGGCGTATGGTTCAGGGTGTGGGATGACACTTCAGCCTGATATATATTTTGTTTTTATTACAAAGGAAGGAGATACCCACATATACAACATCATATCAAAAAGTAGGGTTTACTTGATTTTTTTTTTTATTACAAAGGAAAGAGATACCCACATATACCATCTACGCCTACACTGAGGCTCAAACTCTAAACCTCCTACATAGGGGAGCTACCAAATACTAGTGGACCACAAAGTTCTTGGTGATTTACTTGATATTATTATCCTTAAGTATTGAGAATAATAAAACTTCCAATTCAAAAATAGTAGAAATTAATTAAAGTATGTATACATACATGTCCGCACAGGGTTAATTTAATGGTTCAATAGGTAGGAGAAGAGATCAAAATTTGAGAGCAGCAATGTAAGGATTATGTCTAAAATGGACAGATAAGCATTTAACCCTATCTACTGAGCTGATTTACATTACCCCATATGCTCTGTCCCGTCGGGTCCAGGATTCAATTCAAGTCTTTGGGATTCGTATGTATACATGCATGGATATGGTAAATCGGTAAATCCAATCCTTCAATTCCTTGCCTTAATTTCCCACCGCGAAACTCCCATATTTTCCTCTCGTTGACAAAGCATCCTGCAACAGTCAACCTCAGAATCCACCACCGTATATTCTCAACCTGCAGGATTAATCCTCTTCCCCCGGCCTCTCTTATATATATCTATCCTTCTATCTATTTCTTCATTTTCCCTCCGGCCGGCCAGCCAGCCAACAACATATATTATTATTACCGCCATGCATATATATATGTATATATAAATCCAAAACCTTAAACTTGGAAGATCAATTATATTGGAAGTTTAAGGCCCGCGATTATATATAATATAATGGTGCGGAATTTGAGTTGGTTGGCGGTGTTATTGTTATTGTTGTTGGGGGGAGCTGAGGGGTTTATCGGTATGCAATGGGGAAGATACGCGACGCAGAGCTTGGTGCCATCAATGGTGGTGGATTTGCTTCTGCAGAATGGGATAAAGGAGATCAGACTGTCGTCGCCGTCCCCCAACGTGATGGAGGCGTTGCAGAGCTCCGAACTGGGCGTCACCGTCGCCTTGCAGAATGATTTCATCAAACGCGACAAATTCTTGGAAAATATCAAAGACGTTACCTCCTGGGTGCAAGAGCTTCTCGTCCCGCCTGTACAGAGAGGAGTCAATATCAAGTATGTATCTTCATATCTTATTCCTCGATATATATATATATATATATATATATATATATATATATATATATATATATATATATATAGGATCAAGAGAATTTTCCGTGTGCTGACTTTTTTTTTGACAGAAATATGTAAAACTCAGTTAGGACTTGTGTTTTTGGAGTTGTCCCGGGTGTTTTTTTTTTTTTTTTCATTATTTACTTAAAATGCAATGGCGAGTTGCGTTTTTCGTATTGTATACGTTAAACGCATCTGCCAAATGCGTTTTCATGTGACGTACGGAATACGTTAAAACGCATTTGGGGAAATGCGTTTTACGTATAATACTTTAAAATACTTAAAACGCAACTCCGAAATGCGGACTATTTACCGGCGCTAGTCCGCCGGAATTGTGTGTAAAATGCAAGAATCAATCAATTCTTCCACGGTATGAAACGAAGAGCTCTTCTTCGGCTTCGACGGCGAGGGCTTTTTTTTCGCCGTCGCTGGCGGCGGAGTAACGGCGTCTTTGGTGTTCTGAACCGCCGGCGGAAGCCTAGTGGTGTTTAACGTGGGCTTGAGGTCTTCCAAGGCCTTGCTGACCTCATCCCAGGAGCCAGGAGCTTCATCAATGCAGTTGAGCTTCTCAAGCAACGGCGGCGAGACGTGCGCCACCGCCTTTATCTTCTCCGCCTCCTTCTTTTTCTCATCATCATTATGCGTTTTACGTATTCAAACCAAAAACGCATGTGCTAATTGCGTTTTATGGTTTTCGCGGTCGCCGGTACAAAATAACCAAGAAACGCAACTTACTTTTGCGTTTTCGGTATAATACGTAAAACGCAAAAGTAAGTTGCGTTTTCTACTATACCGTATCCCCTAGAAAACGTATTAAGGTAATGCGTTTTACGTATACGAATACGTAATTGCGTTTTACATAAATACAGGAAGCGTTTTACGTAAATACAGGAAAAAAATACGGCCGGGACACAACCAAAAACGCAACTCCCAAGGGAGTTTTACACATTATTATCAAAAAAAAAAAAAAAAAAAAAACATGATACATTTTGAAAAATAACCGCGGTTGACCACACATTTCGGTCACATTTCGGTCATTGATCCTATATATATATATATATATATATATATATATATATAGGGTGACGGGACTTTATTTTATTCATGATTATTACCTTTAGTTTGTAATATAAAATATTACATTTTTATATTGACCCAAAGTGTAATAAATTAACTTTTTTACATTAATTTGTAGGACATTGGTTATTACGGAACAACCATACACGATTGACCGAGGACCGATATGGAACCTCACTGATGTCTTCAAAGAGACTGTATTTGCAATGCAAAAATACAACCTTACGCACATCAAGCCCACAACCAGCCATTTCACCGACGTCTTGAAGAACATAACCAAGCCATCGGAAGCCGATTTCCGCGAAGACATCAAGGACAAGATGCTCGAGTTTCTTAAGCTTTTGAAGGACTCAAATTCCTTTTTCCTGTACGATATGTACCCAATCATATCGGCCAATGTGAGCGGCTGGCCCATCGAGTTCGCCTTCATGGACAACAATTCCAGTTTCGCCATCAAAGACGGCAAGTACACTTACCGGAACGCCTTCGAGTTCATGCACGACGCGCTGGTGGTGGCGCTGGAGAAAGCAGGGTATCCGCACATGGAGATCGTGTTCGGGGAGATCGGATGGCCAACGGACGGCGGGAAGCACGCGACTCCGGAAAATGCGGAACGGTTTCACCGAGGGTTTCTGAAGCATATAGTGGAGAAGAAAGGGACGCCGAGGCGTCCGGGGAAGAATATCGACGTTTTCCTGGGATCGTTGACGGACGAGAACAAATTCGCGCTGAGATTGGGGCCGATTCTGCGGCACCGGGGGATCTACGACTTCGACGGGACGGCCAAGTACAAGATCGACTTCAGCGGCAAAGGGCGCGACATCTATCCGGCCACCGCCGCCGGCACCGTGAAAATGCCGTCGCGGTGGTGCATCTTCAACAACGACAACCGCAACATGACCAAAGTGGATGAGCAATTCCAGGTGGCTTGTACCTATTTCGATTGCACGTCCCTCGGCCCCGATTCTTCGTGCAGTAACCTCACCCGCCCCTCCGCTGTGTCTTATGCTTTCAACATGGCTTATCAGGCGAGTACTCTTATTTTTAATTATATATATTCATATTCTTTTACCAGAGAAATCGGAGGAGATTAAATGTATGTTTGCACGGGGTAAATCTCACCAGTTGACTTTAGTCCGTCCAAAATCACAAGGAGGTAAAAGGTTGTTAGGTGATTGAATTAATGGATTTGACTAGTTGATAGAATTAGCCGTAGAAATGCGTTTAGTAAAGTTAGTAATGTTGAACATATAGTCATTAATGTGCAATTCAAATATCAGCTTAGCCTTTTAGTGGGTTGAGATGGAGCACATGCTTCAATTTGGTATCAGAGCATATTGTAGTTACCAAGTCAATATATAGTGTGTAGCATGGCAAATTATACTATATATATAGATCATGGTTCACATTGTTAGGTGGAGCACTAATAAAATGTACAGTTTTGTTATATTGAATGAAATAGTATACATAAAAATGAACATTCAGTAAATCTTTTAAAAAATAAGCATTCAATGTACTAAAAATATACCTTTAGTATATTAATAACGAACCTTATATTGGTAGTCTATCTTATAAGGTGGATTATGATCTATGTATAATTAATGATTGTTGTGGATCATATATAGTTTTTATTCGTTTTTGTGACGAAAAATTTACTGAGTAAGAGTTTGTTAACAGGGTATGAACCAGGATCAGAAGAGCTGTGATTTTGCAGGGTTGGGTGCACTAACCCCTTTTGATCCTTCAGTGGGTTCTTGTAAATTCCCAGTGGAGATTTTGACTGCGGAGAGGGTAGATGGTGGCATTCAAATCATCACTTATGTTGGTTATGCCAAATCCAGTGGTGACAGACTAAAATGTTACACAACACTACAAGTATTGTTGCCCATTGGTCTTATGTTATTATTTATGTTTAAAAAACAGTTGGATTTTTTAGTTTGAGCGTCAATGTTTATGATACGACCTAGGACATGCACGAGACGGATGAGGTGCATAAATTTGATTATGTTCAAGTCATACGTGTATATATAAATCTCTATTGTATAACAGTAGAATGTATGGAATGTATCTATTGTATGACAATATATATCTATTTCATTTGTTGAGCCGGTGTAGCTATACGAGTATACGGTGGTGGAAGACAAGCTCTGTAACCTGCCGGCCAATTGTTTTATTTATTTTTATTATTTTAATGTCATGTAATCTGGATCACGTCATAAAAAATGGGGTAACATGTGAAAAAAGAAGGTAAGTGTGTTCAATTACATTATATTTTAAATGATGAGGGAATTGAGCAATTCTAAGTAATAGATAGGTCTGTTTGATACTTGTGCCGAGTATGACAAAAATGTCAAATAAGTCCATCTACTATTGAAATAAAACACGTCTAATAAAAAATATTCCAATAATAAATATATATACAAGTAATCTAATAATAAATAATTAAATATGTAATAATCTTTGATTTATGAGAAAGTCAATGGTTGTAATTCGAAGGTGTGCAGAGATCAGAATGAAGTCCACTGTAACAAAGACTTGTCTTCTTTTGAGTTGCCATTTAGGGAATGCTCTTATACTAATTGATTAACCCACAAATTTAGGAATAAAATTAAGTTTGCCCATTGCAAGAAACCAATTAACTAAAAACAAATTATAAACGTCCAACCATATACCGGCCTTGAATTGGCAACTACAAATTAATTGAAGATAAACCCAAGAATGATGCAAGTTGTTATTGTCATCACAATAACACCGGCTCAACTCTTAGTTGTTTCATAGTTATTAACTCCCCATATTTTATTAAAATTATTGATGATATGATGGACTTTAATTACAATGGGTACGCAGATCGAGTCACTTTATAAACCACTGCACCATATATATATCCGACCTGAAATTAAACTGCACATACCAAATTAAATACGTCGATGGAAATCCAGGGAGTAGGCGGGCGGCGGCGCCGGATAATTCTGGTGCCGTTTCCCGTTCAGGGCCACATAACGCCGATGCTGCAACTGGGCAGCATCCTTCACGCACGGGGGTTTTCCATCACCGTCGCCCACACCGAATACAACGCTCCTCATCCTTCCACCCATCCCGAGTTCATGTTCCACGCCTTGTCGGACGGTTTGGGTGCTGGCTACGACATGTCTTTCGACAAGATTCTAGGCGCTATCTATATTATGAATGAAAGGTGCAAGGTGCCTTTGGTGCAGTACGTGGAGAACCAGACGGCGTGCGGGGAAGAAATTGCGTGTATTATTCATGACAACATCATGTTCTTCGTTGATGCTGTGGCTACTCGCCTCAAGATTCCGGGAATAGTTCTGGCCACTTTCAGTGCATCGTATTTCCAGGCTCTAACGTCTATTATTCCACGCTTTGATGCTATATTTCCCTATCAAGGTATACCAAATAGTACATTTTTTACTGGATGTGCACTACTGAAAATTATTGAATTTCCGACCACTGAAAGTGATATTAAATCAGGTCGAAAGTAAAAAGTGGTCGGAAATAGCAAAAAGGTTTTTCCGGATACAAATGTGGTCGGAACAAGGCTTTCGACTTGATTTAAGATCACTTTCAGGTGGTCATAAATTCTATAATTTCCAGTAGTGGTGATTAAATGATTAATGCCACAATTTTTGTAATTATCCCATGATGACATTATTGCAGACTTGATGCTTGAGGAACCACTGCCAGACCTTCATCCCCTGAGGTACAAGGACGGCCCATTTCAACCAACTCAAGATAATGATATTCCAGAGCCAATACGAGATTTTTTCAGAATAACAAATGACATAAGATCTGCAGTGGCATGCATTTGCAATAGCATAGACTATCTAGAGCATTCATCACTGTCAAAGCTTCAAACCCACTACAAGGTTCCGTTCTTCCCCATAGGCCCATTTCACAAGTTGGCCTCATCAAACTCCCCAACCAACCTGCAAGAAGAGGACACCAGCTGCCTGCCATGGCTGGACAGCCAAGCTCCTCTCTCGGTCCTCTACGTGAGCGCCGGCAGCGTAGCCGTCGTGGAGAAACACGCGGTGGTCGAAACCGCCTGGGGACTAATCAACAGCGGCCGGCCGTTCTTGTGGGTGGTGCGGCCGGGATCAGTCCACGGCGTGCAGTGGACGGAATTCTTGCCGGAGGGTTTCCAAGAACTGGTGGGGGATAGAGGTCTGGTGGTGAAATGGGCCCCGCAACGGCGCGTGCTATCACACCCCGCCGTGGGAGCGTTCATGACTCACTGCGGATGGAACTCGACGTTGGAGAGTATCTGTGCCGGAGTTCCTATGATCTGCCAGCCTGTGTTCTCGGATCAGCTCGTGAACGCCAGGTACCTTAGTGATGTATGGAAGGTAGGGCTGGAAATGGAGGTGATAGATAGAGATGTGGTTGAGAGGAGTGTGAGGATGATGATGAAAGGTGAAGAAGGCAAAGATATGAGGAAAAGAGTGGTTGATTTGAAGCAGAAGGTGGAGAGTTGTGTTGAGAAAGATGGGTGTTCTTACAAGGCCTTGAATGAGCTAGTAGAATTCATTTCTTCTCTTCATCACAAGGATTAATTATATATATATATGGTTGTTCATCCTTTCAATCACTAATCTAAATAAATAAATTTTATGTACATACAATTCATATCCTATTTAGTAGAGTAAATAACAAAAATCATTTATTGATTATGCCATAATTCATAAATTAGTTATCAATTATCAAATATCAATTTTACCTAATTAAGTCCTCAACCATTCAGTTTTTACTACTCAATTTAATTGTCTATCAATTAGTACGGTTAAATGCAAGGACATTTTTGACAAATCAAATGAACAAAGGACTAACTTGAGTAAAAATTGAATAATTGAGGAATGATTTTGATTATTTATTCAAATGGTATTTTACTTACTTTTATTTTCACTTTTATTTTTGTAAATGATATGATGTATTTTTTCTAGTCATACAAGCCTAAAACATAAAATATTGGTAGAAATATTATGAATAGTAGACGTTAACCTAACAACTTGGGATAATAGGCAAGTTTAGTGTTAATATAGCTAATCATTTGAGCACGACTACAACAGCAATAATGAGTTGATAAATGTACCAAATGAATAAGACAAAATATACATTTTACAAGAAGGGAAGTTATAAGGGAGCAAATCTAATATTATATATTTATATGTCAACCTGTATGATATATGATTTTTTTTTTCTAATGTAACTCATATAAGACTGATTGTCTGCATATATACTTCAACCTTCTTTCATCTCTCTCTCTCTCTCTCTCACACACACACACACACACACACACACACACACACACACACACATATATATATATATATATATATATATATATAATATATATATATATATATATATATATATATATATATATATATATATATATAACATTACCACACAGTAGAGAATCTCTCTCTCTCCTCTCATACTCACTAATTCATCAGTGTCATTATGACTGACAGAAAACCAGAAAACAATGGAGTTTCCGGTCATATTCCGGCAGCTCTCGACCCTCCGAAGAAGCCTCCCAGAAACAAATACGCCATGGCTTGTTCCTTTTTAGCTTCACTGGCATCAATCTTGCTTGGTTATGGTAATTATATCTTTATGATGAGCTTGTTATTACTTAATTTTTAAATAGAAAAGCATGAGCCTTATGTGGTAAGTTTTGCTAGAAGAAGCATGCTTAAAATATCCAGTATGTTTATTTGAGTTATCTGCCTTTGTTTTAGAATCACTGAGATGTACTGAGCATGACTCCCTTGAGTATTGTTATACTGTGAATGAGATTACCTTGAGTATGTTGAGTTCTAATAGCATGTTAACTACTTGATAAGTGTTAAATGAGAAGATTTGTTAAGTTATGAGTTACACGCATGATTTATGAATTTGTTGAGTTTCACAGTAAATGGAAGTTAGAAGCATGTTTTACAGTAAATTGCATCTTTGAACATTTCATGTTTTAAAAGTGTAAGTGGTCAATGTGAGCCTAAGTATTATTCTCTAAAATCTCATATCCATGTAGAAAGCTTTTATCTTGCCATATTGAGAATGAGTTGAGAAGATATGTGCATAAGAAAAGTGTTGCATGGTTTGAGTCGCATGAGTGATATCTATCTATATATATCTATTGTAACGAAAATAGTATTTTTGGAGGACCCGTTTGGACTATGTCCTTTCGGAGTAAAAGAGAAAGCAACGGACATTGCGATCCGATATCATGTAACGCGACGTATTCCCATGTTACGAGGTTGGAAACTGTCCGCCAGGCTTGGAATCCTGGTCAGGGGGTGTGCACACTGATAGTTCGATACCTGATTCCACAGAGTATGAGTATTGGAACCACGAGATTGGTTCTGTGGGCGGGATGAGAGATTGGACGTCTAGACGCCGTGCCCAATGGGTTCATTCACATTACGGTGAAGCCCGGCCTCGCCCACGAGTAAAGAGAAAGTGATTCAAGAGACTCGAGAGAAAGAAAGCGAGTCATTGAAACTCAAAGAAAGCGAGTCAAGAGACTCAAGAGAAAGAAAGCGAGTCATTGAGACTCAAAGAAAAGAAAGCAAAGCAAGTCATTTATGACAACAAGAAACCTCCACAGAAAAACGATTCTTTTTGAAAGAGTGTGTATGTATATCTATACTTACTATAACCCATCTTATGAGTTATATATCTTGCACTAGATTGCATAAGTAGTAGTACAAAATTGCTTATATATGTATCTTGCACTAGATTGCTTATATATATATATATATATATATATACATATATATATATATACATATATATATATATATATACATATATATATATATATACATATATATATATATACATACATATATATATATATACATATATATATATATATATACATATATATATATATATATATATATATATATATATATATATATATATATATGTATGTATGTATATAGTAGCATGAGATTGCTTATATATCTTGCACTAGATTGCATGATTAGTAGTATGAGTTGCTTATGAGTTATATATCTTGCACGAGATTGCATGAGTAATATATGATAGCATCAGTTTGCTTATGAGTTATATGCCTTGCACTAGATTGCATGATCAGTAGTATGAGTTTGCTTATGAGATATGTCTTGCACGAGATTGCATGAGTAATATATGATAGCATGAGTTG